CAGCACCCACATCTCAACGTGTGTGCATGCTCAGTCATGTCCTACTCTTTTGTGACCTCATGGACTGTAGCCCGCCAGGCTCCTCTGTCCATGGGATTTCTCAGGCAAGAATACTGGAGTGGGTTGCCATTTCCTCCTGCAGGGGAATCTTCCTGACCCAAGGATCGAACTCACCTCTCTTGCATTGCCGGGGGGATTCTTTGCCACTATGCCGCGTCTCGACATGGTTCTGCCAGTCTCTTCTATTGCCATATATGCTGCGACTCTTGTGGAGTGAGACTTGGGAAAATGGCCTCAAAAAGAATTCCAACTGCTAAGCCTGGTGGTGGAAGAGAAGATGACAGTGGCTGGGATATACGATGTGAACAGATCCTGCAACAACTCTGTATGGAAATCTCAAAAGGCGTTTTTTAAATATGTTTCATTTGTGTTTTTTAAATAAGAGAATTAGAAAAGGCTGTGGGATAGGCTCCTTTCAGAAGTCAAATGTTGTGTTTCAACTTACTGTTCCTATAAATACATGCACACTTGTTATTTCATGTGTCCTGGGTTTCACTTGGAAAAGAGAGTCAAAGTGAAGGTCACCCAAAGGAAGTGGGTACCAGGTATAGAGCGACCTCCCCCCAAACCACCCTCGCCCAGCTCCTTCCTCCAGAGTTCTGTCTTTACGGGAGATTCTGAAGGGGAGGTTTCATCAGCATCTCCTACAGCCTGGGAAGAACTGTGGCTGGTGAGCTGGTGCAGCAGAAACGTTCTTAGGAGACAAAGTGGCCTTGCTGCCTTCTTCTGGAGTTGTGGTTATAACTGTTACTTGCAGCAATACTTTATTTTTAGTTTTTGGTTTGCTGTATTTCTTAGTGTGAGGTTCATGAGAAACTTCTGTTATCCTTCCCTACCCCTTCATCCCTCCATCCGAGCCGACTTCCTGGCTGATGGTGGAGGAGCACCACCCATGCCCTGTCATCCGAAATGAAGTTCAATAGGTTTCTTAGAGCCTGTGCTCTCCTATCCCTCCAGCATCTGTGTGGATAGTCCACTCTCCTGGCCCTTGCCCTGTCCCTCCCTATTAACAACACTTTGATATTTTTAGTTAGGGTTAGGGTTAGGGTTAGGGTTAGGAGGATCTGTTACAGCAGGCAGATAGCTCAGTATAAGCAGAGAAATGTGGGGAGGGGCCAGGTGGCAGGAAATCACACATTTTGTAAACAGTGGAGGTCCTCAGGTAGATAAGAGAAAGCAGGAAACTTCCAGGCTAACAGGAAACTATCTTTTTTGGGTGTTAAAGAGTAACAGAGAGTGTATTAAAAAGCAGAGAAGTTAGCCAACAAAGGTCCATATAGTCAAAGCTATGGTTTCTCCAGTAGTCATGTATGGATGTGTTGAGTGCCAAAGAATTGATGCTTTTGAATTGTGATGCTGGAGAAGACTCTTAAGAGTCCCTTGGACTGCAAGGAGATCTAACCAGTCAATTCTAAAGGAAACCAGTCCTGAATTTTCATTGGAAGGACTGATGCTGAAGCTGAAGCTCCAATACTTTGGCCACCTGATGAAAAGAGCCAAGTCAATGGAAAAGACTCTGATGCTGGGAAAGACTGAAGGCAAAAGGAGAAGGGGATGACAGAGGATGAGATGGTTAAAGAGAATCACAACTCAATGGACATGAATTTTAGCAAACTCCAGAAGATAGTGAAGGACAAGAAAGCCTGGCGTGCTGCAGTCCATAGGGTTGAAAAGGGTGGGACATGAGTTAGTGACTGAACAACAGACAATGAAAGATGGGGAAAGGTGAGAATCTCCTGCACCCAAATGTAACCTTTTGCTCATTGCACCCTCCTTATGATGAGATTAGCTTACGGATAAGAAGTACTCATCATGCACCGGGGCTTCCCTAGTGGCTCAGATGGTAAAGGATCCGCCTGCAATGTGGGAGACTTGGGTCCAATCCCTGGGTCAGGAGGATCCCCTGGAGGAGGAAATGGCAACCCATTTCCACTCCAGTATTCTTGCCTGGAAAATTCCACGGACAGTGGAGCCTGGTGGGCTACAGTCCATGGGGTCCAGAGAGTCAGACATGACTAAGCAACTGAGCAAACACACACACGCACACATACACACCATGCACCAACGGCCATGACACTTCTAATCTAAGCTAAAAGGGGACAGAAATCCCCCTTCCCCTCAGGAAAATAGAGCTGGGCTGAAAATCAGGAAAGATGACTTCCTTCCCCTGTGACTATGCTGCCTCTCCATTTGTGTGCCTCTCATAACCATCTTGCCAAAGAGGCCTGGTGTGGTAGCTCCTCCCATCTGCCTCTGAGAGTGTATTCTTGCTTAAATAAGATTTCACTTTACTTTCTTAACCTCTCTGCTTCATCTCCAAATTGTTTTGCAACGAAGAAAGAATCTCAAATTCACCAGCAACACATTTAATAGCAGCAGCTCTGACACCAGGGAGACCTTACAATGTGCTTCCTCCATTCACCAGGCATTTATTAACCACATACTCTTGGGCTTCCCTGGTGGCTCTCAAGAATCTGGCTGCCAATGCAGGAAACACAGGCTCGATCCCTGGGTCAGGAAGATCCCCTGGAGAAGGAAATGGCAACCCACTCCAGTATTCTTACCTGGAAAATCCCATGGACAAAGGAGCCCGGCGGGCTACAGTCCGTGGGGTCACAAAAGAGTTGGACACAACTTAGCAGCTATACAACTGGATCAGGCAGTATGCTGAGCTCAGGATACTGAGATGACAAGACAAGGTCCCTGCTCTCAGGGGTCACAGTTTAGTTGCCTCTGCATATCCATAGGCACAATGCAATGTTATGTATTCGTGTCAGAAATCTGTGGGGTCACAAGGAATGAATGGTGGTGCTAGGAAATTCACCAGGCAGATGTGGGGGGTAGGGTGGGGAGAAGGAACTCCAGGGGGAGGAAGAAGTATGGACACGTGTAGGTGGGCAAGGCTTGTGTGGTCTGGAAACCATATTGGGCTTGTTATGGCCAGTGAGGGCTGGGCATGTAAGACAGGACTTTTTGTCATGGAGCTTACCCAGAGGGGTGGGTGCCCAGACAGGCTCACAACTCTCAGAGGAAGCAGGAACTAGCAAGAACTTAAAAAAAAAAAAAGATGGATAGGGCACTAAGAGTTTGCACAAAAGGGAGAGAGAATTTAGGGTTGGAGGCATCCAAGGAGGCTTGGTGGGCTGAATGGGTTGCAGTGATGGGAGAACATTCCAGAAGAAAGGGGCACAGTGGGGGTGCGTGTGTGCATAAGCATAATGCTATGGAGTAAGACAAGCTCATTCTCATAGATCAGAGGGGCCCCAAGAAGCTGGGATGACAACAGCTAGTGTGTGAGAGTGTGTTGGTGTTAGGATAGGGGGCAGGCAGTGAGGGGAAGTGAATGACATGTGAAGTACAAGTCCCAAGCTGGGTTGGATTTGGAGGACACCATTTGGGAAGCCAGAGGTAACTTTGGCACAACTTCCTTGATTTAAGTTGTCTTAATGCTTTTGCAGAAAGATATTTATTATTAAAATCAATTTGAAAAAATACAAAATACACATGGATTTCTCTTAAGATTAAAAAAAAATACAAATTCTAAGAAATCACAACTGCCTCCAGAAGGCCCTCCTTGGTGTGGGGACCCTCCCATGGCCATTAGGGTGGCTAAGATTAGATCTGAGACACCCTGACATTCTTGGTGGATTTAACTCTCATGTCAACCCTGTGAGGTAGAGAGGATCATGCCTACAGATGAGAAAACAAGCCCACCGAAGGTGTGTAATGTGCTCAAGGCCACACAGCTCGTGAGCAGCAGAATCAGAAGTCAAACCAAGTTCTGGGTCCAGGTCCAAGTTCTTTCTGCAACAGCTTTTGAGCGGTCGATAAATGAAGTATGGGGGGAAATAAAGCTGAAATCAGTCAAGACTCTTGAAAGTCCCTTGGACTGCAAGGAGATCCAACCAGTCCATCCTAAAGGAGATCAGTCCTGGGTGTTCATTGGAAGGACTGATGCTGAAGCTGAAACTCCAATACTTTGGCCACCTCATGCGAAGAGTTGACTCACTGGAAAAGACCCTGATGCAGGGAGGGATTGGGGGCAGGAGGAGAAGGGGGTGACAAGAGGATGAGATGGCTGGATGGCATCACCGACTCGATGGGCATGAGTTTGAGGAAATTCCGGGAGTTGGTGATGGACAGGGAGGCCTGAAATAGGCTGGTGCTAAATCACAGAGGTTCTTGAAAGCCAGGTTGAAATAAAGGTTGCAAGCCAAAAAGAACGTCCATGGCCCACTAGGATTAGATCCAAGAGGTAAGAAGAAATGGGGCAATATGGTCCCAGGAGATCTAGTGATTCTCATCCTGGCTTCTTTGGGGCCACTCTGATCCCTGAGACTGGGCATGACCTGTACTGAGCAATGGCATTGTTCTCATGGTAACAGTAGGAACCATGCCTCTTTTTCTATTTGTTTTCTACTTAGTGTTGTCGTGCCAGGTGCAAAGCCCTCAGAATCACTGACCAGCCCCTTCTGGAAATGAATCCTAGAGAATGGGTGTCGACCATCTGTAACTTCTCCCAAGGTGCCCCTGCCACACGGAGGATTTATCCTGTAGTCGGTGCAATGGGAGAGATCAGTGTTACTGGTTCTGAAAGGAAATCAATGCAGAGTAAGAACTGCTGGGGGCAGTTGCAATTTTCTAGATCTATTACTTTCCATTTGGACGTTGGCAAGACAAAACATTGTGTTGCTATGAAAATCAAGGAGATTTATGTTCTTTTCATTGTAGGAAAACAACAACTCCATAAAGGAACCCCAAATGGCAACTTAAGGGCTTCCCCGGTGGTTCAGTGGTAAAGACTCTGCCTGCTAATACAGGAGACACAGGAGACTCAGGTTGGATCCCTGGGTCACGAAGATCCCCTGGAGGAGGAAATGGCAAACTACTCCAGTATTCTTGCCTAGGAAATCCCATGAACAGAGGCACCTGGTGGGCTACAGACCATGGGGTTGCAAAGAGTAGGACATGACTGAGCAACTGAACACAAAGGCATGCAAATGGTAACTGTTGGAAATAAAAGGTACAAAGTTATCTGTGGCTTCTAATAAGTGGAAACTGCTCCTTTGACTAGGAGATGGTGGTTACACTTTGCAGCTGAATAGCACTGTCTTTCTTCCTTTCCTTTTCTTCCTTTAGAATGCATTGAGAGAGTTTATTGAGAAACCAGTCGACATCCTGGAGATCCTCAGGCCACCTCAAGTATTGCTGTTTCTGGACGAACCCTCTGATGGGCTGATGCTTCATCAGATGGAACTGGGACAGGGACCCCACCACTACCATGATGAGGGCGCCATTGAGGTCAGCTAAGCACCTGCTCTGGGCATAACTGAAGGCTTCGAGGCACCACCCGTCCCTAAGGAAGTGTCTGCTCACGAGACAGACAATCTTCCTGCTGCTCCACACAGCATCTTGGATGTTGGCGATGTGGTTTTCCCCGGGCATAAAGTCTCTTTCTTCAAAGCACAAGTTAAATCTGTTTTGGGGGCTGTACTGGACATCCAGGTGTTTGAGCAAAGCATTCTGCACCCATTCAAAGTCTTTGCTACTGAAGCACAAATAGGCATCGTATTTGTACGTATCTGATTCTCTTCCCTTGATGGGGTCCTTGAACAGCAGACTCAGGGCTTTCTTATAACAGATGAAACAAAACCCCCGGAACTTTTTAACCATAAGGATGACTACGAGGAACAGAGTTAAGGTGACAGTGACCAAGATGAAAAGGGAAAACTTTAGGGACTCTAAAACTTCTTCTTCTTCACAACCTTCTGTGGAAAAACTGTAAAGGGAAACCCCAGCCAGAGAGTTTGGGTACATGCAGTACATGTCTGCTGGAGACCCATATATTGTGATGTTGGTTTGATTGAGCCAATGGATAAAAGCACTAAGTTCACACTCACAGATGAATTTGTTATGAGTTAGGTCCACGGCACTCAGTGATGCAAATAAATCAGGATCAGGAGAGAGGAGCTGGTTTCCAGATATATCCAGGATCTCTAAGTTAGCAGGTAAATCGCCAGGAGAAAGAACAGTCAGTCTATTGTCTTTGAGGCTGAGTCCCCTCAGTGCAGTCAGATGATGAAATACTCCTGGTGGAAGGAAATTCAGGTAGTTTTTATTCAGATAGAGGATTTGGAGATGGGAAAGCCCCTTAAAAACATCCCAACATGACCCGGCTTCCCAGGCAAGTTGCAACATATTTTCTCCAAGGAAAAGCTTTTCTAGGCTGGGATTCTCTGAAGGGGCATGGTTTTGGTGACAAAAGGAAAAGCGATTTTGATTTAAAATGAGAATCTGGAGATGAGGTACCTGGAGAAGGAAGTAGAGATCATTCAGATTTTCTAGTCTATTCTCTGATAATTGGATGAAATTTGCTGTAAGTGGGATGTTTGGCAAAGTCACCAGCTTATTGCCACCCAAGAAGATATTAGGAATGCTTGGAAGAAAATAAATTGTTTTAAGAGCATTATCCCGGAGGTCCAAGGTATTTAATTTCCTCAGGAATTTGAATGTTTCGTCCTGAATGATCCCAATGTGATTCTTCTGCAGGTCAATATAGGCCACCTTAGGTAGTCCATCGAAATTATAATTATATAGTTCCCCAAGAAGGTTATGTGATATGTTGAGAACTTGGAGGTTGTCAAGTCCATAAAATGCATTCCTCAAAATACTGTTTATCTTGTTGCAGGCGAGGTTAAGGACCTTCAGCTCTTGGAGTGTCTCAAAGACTCGGAAGTTCAGGGAGAAGATATGCCCATGTGAAATGTCCAGCTGTATCATCGAGCTCCTGGCCAGCCCAGCAAAGGTGTGCTGGTCAGGATCCTTCAGGTTGGAGAAGCCAAATGAAGACCCCATAGTGTGACGGGTAAGAACCAAAGAGAAAATCTGGCTCCCATTGATGGCATTGCTGAAGTTTCTTGTGACATCCACCCCCCAGCCATTGCCAGAAACATCTAGTGTTTCCAGGACCATGTTTCTGAATGGGTTCAGACACTTCTTCCAGTCCATGGAGACGCTGCTGTAGAGGTGGTTAGCAGCAAGGCTTAAGAAGGAGAGTGTTTTCCCTTGGAGGGGTTTGAGCTCGTGCTCACATACAATAGATATATTGTTGAGGGAAAAATCAATAGACTTCAAGGAATTCAGTTCCCGGAATGAGGGATGAAGGTAAAGACTCTGAATTTGATTTTTGGATAGGTCCAAGTGAGTCAAAGATGCCAAATTTCTGAAATAACCATCTTTTAATACAGCATCAGAGAGACCACAGTAAAACAGTCGAAGTTCAGCGAGGTGGGACAGCCCCTGAAAAGCGTCTGGATGCAAGAAGTCTATCTGACTTCCACCCAGGTCCAGGATCCTGAGATTGGGCAGGTTTCGGAAGGCTTCTCTGGAAATGGTCAAGGGGGTAAACTGAGTTCCCAGCTCCAGCAGCTGCAACTGCTCCAGGAAGGGGAAGGATGTGGCTGTGACTGTTCTGATATAGTTGAAACTGAGCAGGAGGCTCTTGGTGGTGTTGGGGACCTGGGGCACTTGGGTGAGGTTGCAGGAAAGATAGACGGCTCTCCAACCATTGAAGAAGCAGGAAGAAATTCCAAGTGCAGGACTGGTCAGGAGTACGACTCCTAAGAGAAGGTCAAGGCAGTCTCCCATGATCCTATGGAGAAGAAGGGAGAGTGAAGACACAGACATCAGACATCTAAGCTCAAGGCACTGAGCACAGCCTTGAGGGTGCTTAGGGCCTGGGGGACCCCCCTGTGATGTGGTTGCTTCTTAGACCCTGTGTTCCTCTGGGTCCGTGGTCATGCCTATTGGCAGATACTGTGTGGTGTAGACAGAGCTTTTCTCTCTTTTTATCTATTATGTTGCATTTTTCTACATAGCAAGCGTGGTTCCAAGTACTTTAGAAATACTTTATTTAATCTTTGTGATAACTCGGCATTCATGCATAAGGTTGTGAATTCATTCATTCAAGATTTGCTGATGGAAGTTGGAGAAAACATTAGGAAGAGATATATTTGAACTTCACCCTTTGCAGGGACCCCATTCCCATCCCAAGGCAGCCTCTGCCGAGGAGTGAAAAATAAACCCACTGATTTTTCTTTCCCCTCTAATCTGCCAAAGATACTAAGTCATCTCTATTTATCCATCCTCACTTCTTACACAGTACAGCTCATCATGTAAAAACTGGGTACACCATTTTTCAGTTTAATAAGGATGTACTCAGCAACAACTGCATGCCTGGCACTTGTGTGACCATGTGCGTGTACAGCTATACAAAAACCAGACCCCTTGCCTAGTCCAATAGGTAAATACACCATCTGTCTGGGCTGAGCATCTGCTTGTACACAGCGGCAAAAGGCGCTGAATGAATGTGTCTGGTTATATTCTCAGTGCTGTGTTGGGAGCGGTGAGGGGGCAGAGAAAAGTGCAGGAGGCCCTCTCACCCACTTCCCCTCTACCCACCGGTATGGTTCCTCCACATGGTGCCTGCCAAGTACTCAACTTGCTCTACGTGTAATATCAGAAGGCCTCTGTTGGAAGGTAAGGAAAAAGCTACATGTCTCAGAGGGCAGAGTGAGAGCGAGAGTAAAGGAAGAAACAAGAAGAGGGCACTGGTTTACGAAAACATCCCTGGTACAGGCTCCATCTCAGGGCAGACAGCGTGAAGAGGGCATGGAACTAGAGGAGGCACCAGCCCTGGATCACTTGCAGGCTCTGAAGAGGGTTCGTTGTGTTGGGGGTGATTCGTGGTAGGGTTTCCGTAGCACCTTTGAGGCCCTGACACACAATTTACAGCTGATCAGAAGGAGAAATCAACTCCTGAGTTGACCCGAAGTATCAAAAGCAGGCTATATTAACAGTGGGACAGCAAGTCTTCCCTGGTGGTTCAGTGGTTACGAATCCGCCTGCCAGAGCAGGAGACGTAGGTTTCATCCCTGGTCCGGGAAGATCCCACAAGCCATGAGGCAACTAAGCCCATATGCCACAACTACTGAACCCACATGCAGCGACAGAGATCCAAGGCAGCCAAAAATAAATAAGTTCTTAAGTAAAAGAAAAGAGTTGGGGGGGGGGGGCACGGTATACTCGTGTATATCATCAGGTGAAAAACTATTGCCATTTCACATTTGAAATTAAACAATTTCCAGTTGGTAGTAATTAAATATAACCTACTATTAAAAATAAACCCAAAACCAGGCACTTAAGAATCATAAGAAAAAACTTGGTGAGAATGTTTATCAAGGCTCTTATTTTCTCTGCCATTTCCACTCATGGGCTCAGGGTAACAAGAGCAGAGTCACCTTTGTTCTCTGAAATGTCACCCCCATGGTAGCAAGTCATGTCAGTTTCATCTCCCAAGCCTACTCCGTTCAAGCCCCCATCTCTTGACAGGACTAGACTTGAGAGCTCTCACTGATCTCTCTTATTTCCAGTCTTACCCTCCGTTTCCCAAAGAGCAGCCAGGGTATTCTTTCAGAAACATAACCCAGAATATACCACAGCTCCACACAGACCCCCTTTCTCCTCCTCCCCCTGCTCTGGGAATAAAATCCTGCAAAGACTTCCTTGATCTGGTTCTGGCCTGTCTCTGCCACACCCTCCTCCTCAATAACTTACTCATTAATTTTTGCTGAGCATCTCTGTCTGGTGCTGTTTTAGTGGTGAACACAACAGACCAAGCCTGACCTTTCACTCTCCAAAAATGCATATTTGCAACATAAATCAAAATTTGTACCTGAGTTCAGAGGGTTCCCTGTTCTCCTGAAGGCTATCCCTTTCAATCTCATGAGGAAGACCTTTGGTTTACATATAACAACCACCAGGTTTTACACTCTAGAACAGGGCTTGGGAAACTTTTTCTGTAAAGGGCCAAACGGTGAATATTTTAGGCTTTGTAGTCCAAATACCATAGTTCGTTAACCTCTGTTTTAGAAGAAAGGAGAATGGAGACTTTGATTTCACCAATGAGGATTTTAAGTGACTGCAAGATAAATGTGTTCTGATACTGAACTGATATTTGCAGGAAAGAACTAGCTTGGCCCCCAAGCTGCTGACAGTTCTGCGGCTGTTGTTTTATTCAAACATCAGAATGAATTCTCATCTTATGTAACCTGACAGGAAAATCCCTACAGAGACACGGGAGTGAGAACACCAGTTCCGAATAACAGAGTTAAGATGTCTAGTTTCAATTCTGTCTTTTTACGGACCACTCAGGGCCGGCCTCCAAATGTCGACGCTGTACTAGGCAGCTTGACCTTGAATTCATGGTAAAAACAAATGAAAGAAAGTCCCAAACAACACATGTTCAATACACTGAATTTTCAAGTATTAACAGGGAAACTAAAATTAAACAGCAAGATAGATAAGGCCAGTTGAACAAACAGATATTAAAGAAAATCACTTGGGTTCATGTCATGCTACGAAGACATACTGCCGACCTATTTTCTTATGAAATACAGCAAAGTGTGAAATAGCTACATCTTCATCTCTGAAGCAGACTTCTACAGGTCAGGTGGCAGGACACATGGACAGAGGAGCCAGGGGACCTGGTGAGCCAACAGGAGTCTGGAGGGGTTATTCATGAAGACAGAAGCTAGGAAGAGGGACCATCACAGGCCGGGGTCTCCTGGAATGGGAACCAGGATCCAAAATGGGTTGAAATAAATACAAACACTGGTAGAGGGCAAATCTAATTTCAAGGTGAGAACCAGGCCACGGAATTGTTTCAGACCTGACCTAATGTCAGAAAGATGAGCTTCTAGAGTGAAGGCAGGCTGTGAGACAGGGTGGGCAGCAGGTGTGGACTTACGGAACCCAAGAAAAAAGATGAAGTGGCCAAAAGTCCAAACCCTAAGGGGGCTGAAGTCAAAGGGAGTGAGAGGGATGAGAGTGTGTTGGGTTAAGGCCCGGAAGAAGCCTGTGTCAGACAGGGCTCCTTGCTTCTTGACCCCAGAGCAGCTGGTTGCTGGCAGCCACTTCTGACCCCGCAGAGGACGGCGCCATCCAGGGGTGTCTGGAGTGAGTTCTCAACGGCAGCAGATAGAGTGGCCTGGCAGTGTGCTCCTAAACTATTCGTAAGAAGACGGTGAGAAGCGACACGTACTGACACTGTTAGTTCGGCCATCAGGCGATATACTCAGTCCTTCCTAAAAATTGCTCAGCTATGCAAAATCACACAATAAGACCACAGGACTTCTGGGGTAAAGAGGGCAGCACACAGCCTGCAAAACCTTCATTGTCAGCACCTAAAAAACCTAATGAAAATGGTAGCACTGTTTTATACATGTATGCAGGTAAGAAATATACACAACACATTGCAAGAAATATTCCTTTCCTTGAAAAAGGCCTGAGGGTTGCCGCTTGGGAGCTACTGTGAGGTGCTGGAAGGAGGGGACTATCTGGTATCAGGGGAAGTGGAACACCAGTTGGGAATGGGTGTCAGCTCAAAACACACAGAGTGCGAAGATCGCTGGTGGATTTCTGAGATATTCTCCCTCGTCATACGTAGGCTGGTGCAGCGGGGTCGTTTTCTTAAGCTTAAGAAACGGCACATAAGCAAATGCAAATTTCATGTTCACTAATATGTTCATGTTGTTTCCTAATATATGAGTAATCTTCCCTAATACAGCAACACTGTTCCTTAATATGTCAGTCGTGGTCTCATTCAAGGCTAACAGTTCAAATTAAGAGTAGGACAAAAGGAGGTTCCATGTATGAGCTACCCTCTGCACCCGTGTGGTAGAGTTTGGAGAACTCATGGGACTGGCTCAGGAATCAGCGCTGGGGACCAGTGCAGACTCGGGTGCCAAAGGGCTCAGAACCGTGGGCAGAGAGGGTCACCTCCAGCAGCCTCAGCAGGTTCTTGTTTCAAAGACAGACTGAACGAGAGGAGCCATTCTCAACTCTGGTGGCACATGAGAACCACCTGAAGAGCTTCGAGCACTGAAGCTCAGGCTTCCCGTAGACCAGTTAAAAGAGACTCTCAGGGGTCTGGGCTCTTAACAAGTGACTGAATTTTGTACACACCCAAATTTTAGAATCACTGGTATAAACCCATGGCTAACTTGGCCATACATTCCAATGTATGGTTCCAACCACTGCGGGAGTTAAAATATAGGAACTGGGTCCCATCTATGGGTGATTTGGTTGGTCTATGGTATGGCTAGGGCATCCTGAGTAGTCAAATCTCTCCAGTTGATTCCAGTTTCAGAAGGACGCCTCACATGGCTGCAAGTTTGATGGTACCTTAGACCCAGTACAAGTATTTGCATACCACACTCATGACAGCATTATGTACAACAGCCAACGGGTAGGAATGACCCAAATGTCCACTGACAGATGAGAGGATAATGTGGTCCATCCGTAAAATGGAATATTACTAAAAACAGACAAAAAGCTGGCACACACTTCAACAACATGTGTGAACCTTAAAGACAGCCTCCATGAAATAAGTGAATCACAAAAGACACATACTGTTTGATTCCACTTATATGAGGGACTTAGATTAGCCAAATTCAGAGACAGAAAATGAACAGACATTTCCAGGGGTTGGAGGGAGGGGTGGGGAATTATGGTTTTGTAGGTTCAGAGCTTCTGTTTGGGATGATGAGAAATTTCTGGAGATGAATGCTCAGTCATGTACGACTCTTTGTGATCCCATGGACTGTAGCCCACCAGGCTCCTCTGGCCATGGGATTCTCCAGGCAAGAATACTGGAGTGGGTTACCAGTCCCTTCTTCAGGGGATCTGCCCTACCCAGGGATCGAACCCAGGTCTCCCGTGTTGCAGGCAGATTCTTTACTGTCTGAGCCACAATCTACAGTATGAATGTCCTTAATGTCAGGTATGGTGTGTCCCTGGTGGCTCAGCGGTAAAGAATCTGCCTGCAGTGCGAGAGCTGAAGGAGAGGCAGTTTCGATCCCTGTGTCAAGAAGATCCCCTGGAGGAGGGCATGGCAACCCACTCCAGTATTCTTGCCTGGAGAATCCATAGACAGAGAAGCCTGGTGGGCTACAGTCCATGGGGTTGCAAAGAGTTGGACATGACTGAAGTGACTTAGTATGCATGCACAATGTCAGGTATATTTTACCACGATCAGAAAACAAAATTAAAGAGAAAAAAGCAATACCACCACTCCCAGAGATTGACTCCTGGAGATTCAGCTGGATAGGTCTCAGGGAGCTGGGGAAGTGCATTTTGTTGCCATATCCCAGGTACTTTGAGGAGAGTGGTCCTCAGGCCACACTCTGAGAAACCCTGGTTTAAAGGATCCCCTCCAACTCAGAAACCCCATGCTTTTCTTAGAGGAAGAGGGCTGGAAAGAAATTCAGAGGGCTGTTGAGAATTGGGTTTTTATTACCGAGGCTACTTGTGTCTAGGGCTCTGAGGGGTAACAGGAGCAGCTCGATCAATGCGGGCCTCAATACTCCTGCCAAACACTGTTAATTAAGATAATTAGGCCAGAGGGAGAAGGGTCGCAGCCCTTTTCTCTGAGTTGAATTCATTTAGCTTTAATCCCAACCGTCAGCAGAGCAGGTTCCCTTTCTTGACTTAATTGCCTGCCCAGCAGAGCTGCTGGCCTTGGCATGGGTGAATTACCAGGCTTGGTGTCTCTGCGGGAAGCAGGGGAGCCTGCGCCCAGGGGCGCCTCTGCTCCCCGGGCACCACAGTTGGCCGGCAAATCCTGCTGGCCTGGGCCAGACTGCTCCTGTGCTAATTTAACACTTGGTTCTTAACAAATAATACTCATAATGGGCTCTTTGGCTGCACCTGGGATTCCGAGCTTGGCCGCAAGGCTGGAGAGAGGACGTTTCTCCTGGCAGGTGGTGGCCCACATCTGGCAGGAGGCTGGAGCACCAGGCATGGAGAACCAATTGCTGTCTGAGAAAAACAGTTAATTCATTTCCAAATGGGTGCTGGGGAGGGTTTCTCCCAGGTTCACAGAACAATAAAAATCCTGGACTGAGCCCACATGGGGAGACATTCAAGTTCAGCCCCAGGAAAAGGCTCAAGGCCAGTGGACACGGTGATCTTCCCAGGGCAAATGTGCTCTTCACATGCAGGACACAGCATCATGTCATCGGAACAAGCCAGCAAATGAGCACTCTGAAGCCAGCAGTGTTGCCAGGGCCATGGTCCTTCCAGACCAGCATTCTGCCCCTGACAGTAGTTCCAATAAAACGCATTGGTGACTGCTTTGCTGTGAACCTCAGTGTTTGCTCCCCAGATACAAATCCAGCTTTCTGCACAAACCACCATAATTTTGAGGCTCTTCCCAAGTGAATCTCTTTATCATTCAACACCACCTCTTCTCATGGTGACCAGCTGCTGTATTGAGAATCTGTGCTTGTCCCGGAGCCACTCTTCCCAGGCCAAGGCCCCTGCTCTGTGCTGGTCACTGCTGGATGTTGGGGGTCCTCTGCCTGCCAAGGTCTCATGGTCTGTAGAGACTTTAGAGCAGTGATGCCCAAGAGGTGTCCTTGCACCAGCGGCATCAGTGCTACCTGGCCTCCCACTCCCCCCACTCCTGAATCAGAAGCTCTGGGGCATGGCCTGGCAGGCTGTTCTATCAAGCCCTCTGGGTGGTTCTGATGCACATTCACATCTGAGAACCAGTGGACTCGAGCCTGGAGGGAGGAAAGAAGTATATCCTAATAACTACAACACCACAGAGTGGACACCTTTGCCTACACACTCATGCCCACAGAGCTCTGAGCTTCCTCCCTTTCTGCATCCTCCCAAGTCTTTGCGTGCTCAGTTGCTTCAGTCGTGTCTTACTCTTTGCAACCCTATGGACTGTAGCCGGCACGCTCCTCTGTCCATGGGCTTCTTCAGGCAAGAATACTGGAGTGGGTTGCCATGCCTTTCTCTTGGGGTCTTCCCATCCCAACCCAATCGAACCGGCTCCTGCATTGCAGATGGATTCTTTACCCACTGAGCTACCTGAGAAGGTACCATTATACACATGAGAAAACTAAGGCCAAGAGAAGTTAAGTAGCTTACTCAAGGCCACACAGCGCTGACTCCCCTCTAAACCTAGGGCCTGTGGCGTGGCTGCAGAAGGAGGGCAGTGTGGGAGTACGGCTGCAGCCCACCCCTGGGTCTTCATCTGCTGACCTGGGGTCACTTTCCCTTGGTCACAAACGGATGGGCTCCTGGGGGAAGGTGAACCTCTCAGCCCTTCACCCCCCTTCAGCGCCAAGTGAAGGTCCCCCTCGCCCCACAGTCACTCCCTCCGGAGATGACCCCTTTGAAATGCTGAGTTCTCTCCCACGCTGTCAGCATGACCCTTCCGCTTCCAGGTCTCCTGGGCCCTTCCTTCCACTAGGCTGACTCTCTGATGGCCTCCTGATCCCTCTCAAACCTTCCCTGCTCTTCAAATGCATCTGCCCTCTCCACCTCCCCATCATTCTACACCCCACGGACCTTCTCTTCCGACCTTCTGCCAACACCTTCAACCCGGATGCCTCCTTGCTCTTCTCTCCTGTCTGTCTACACCGGCTGCCTGCCTGCTGCATGCCTACACCCGGTGGCTATAGCTCTGTTGGGAGGAACCACACTGGTGCTCACACAAATGTGCAGAATCCAACCGTGTGGTCACCCTCTCTCCTACCCCCAGGGGTGACTGCAAACCTCTGCTGGTTCCCCTGCCCATCCTGCCTGGCCTCAGCCCTCTCAGAAGCCACTGACACCTTGCTTCCTATTTCTAGGAGAAAAAGGCCTGGCTCTCTTTGTTTTTGTAAACTGTTTTCTTTCTAGAAAATTATTTATTTATGGCTGCACTGGGTCTTCACCGCGGCACACAGGGCTTTCTCTAGTTGCGGCAAGTGGGGGCTATTCTTCGTTGTGGGGCACAGGCTTCTCACCGCCGTGGCTTCTCTGGTTGCAGAGCACAGGCTCTAGGGCACACAGGCTTTAGTAGTTGTGGTGCATGGGCTTAGCTGCTCCACGGCATCAGGGGTCTTAACTGCCCGGATCAGGGATCAAACCCATGCCTCCTGCATTGGCAGGAGGATTCTTATCTGCCACCAGGGAAGTCCAGGAAGGCCTGGCTCTTGACCTGGCATGTGTTGTAACCACGTGGTGACTTCCTGTGTCCCACAGCAAGGCCCGCTGGAGGGCTCAAGGCCCGTCAAGGTGGGAGCACCATGCAAAGCCTCTGGGAGGTGGGCTTTGGGGTGCAGAGAGCGTGGTGGGTCCAAAGCGGAGCCTGCTCAGGCAGATGCAGCCACAGAGGGAGGCTCGCTTGTGCACACCTGGGTGCAAAAGGCGCCCTGCCGCCAGGCCCTGGCAGTTCATTCCTGCAACATAAAGGAAAGTGTGCTCCCCACCCACCCTTTTCCTCAGACCCATTACACGCCTGAGCAGAGACAGTCAGCAGCAGCTTCCATGGGCAGCATGGATTAACACAGCAGGGCAGAGCCCGGTAACTGATGACTGCTCTCCAAAGGGGAAGCAGAACATCAGCGCAGAGGGGCTCTGTGCGCTGGTGCGCCCTCGGGAGATTGGTTTACTGACTTGCTGGCACCTGGTGGTCCCCTTAGGGCCTGTCTGCATCTCTCTGCCGCATGATGCCTTGATACAAAGCTGGTCTAGTACGTCCAGCCCAGCAAGAAACTTCCCTTTCATGTGTCGTGGAGTGGCAGGGGAGATCACGAGAGACTCAGTCAAATGCCTTGCTGCATTCCCAGGGCTGCCGGAAGCTGGTAACGCTGTCAAGATGGAAATGAGCGGAGTCTGATACAACTTGCTGTTCTAGAACCTACGCACACCTGCAGGGGTTCCCGCAGCCTGTCCTCAGGGCTGCAGACCGGAGAGTAGATCTCTTCTAGGAATTTGCCCACAACATCTGTCAGACTCACTATACACCTGTGCTCATGTTCAGTTGTGTCTGATTCTGTGACCCCATGGACTGTAGCCCGCCAGGCTCCTCTGTCCCTGAGATTATCCTGGCAAGAACACTGGAGTGGGCTGCCATTTCCTCCTCCAGGAGATCTTCCCCACTCAGGAATTGAACCTGTGTCTCCTGCATTGGCTCACCTTTACTACTGAGCCAGCTGGGAAGCCCTCAAGCTCACTGGTTTGTAGCTTATTTTGTAAATCTCTGCTGAATGAATCAATCTGTCACATCCTGCCTCTGGGTCCTCCTCTCTCTTCATGACCTGAAGGAAGGGCCAGCTACCAGGGTGCTGAGAGCAGGTCTGCACTCTGGGTTCCTCGGATGGGCTGGTCCAGATGGGGGGAACCTGGGGCCCTTTGGAGCAGCCCCATCTCATCTGCTCTCTCCCATCCTACCTGGGAGGGGTTATCTGTGCTTACAATAGCCTCTGAGAGGGAGCCCTTCCTTCTTCTTCCACATCTGGACATAGCTCGAACTATCCTCCTGGGCATCTGTAGCATTTTCTCCACATTCAGAGCACTTGGGGCTGTAGCCTTTCTGACTCATCAAACACCGTGCTCTATTTGTCTTTGGTTGTGGACCCTTATTGCCATCTTCAGTACATAGGAAACTCTAATGAGGTGGGTAAAGTCAGATCAGCTTCATTAACCCCCCCACTGAAAGAAGCCTCAGCTACATCAGTGCAGATGGTGGCCATTCCTGTAAGTCCATCTCAGGACACCACCGCGAGCATCGATCCCCTCACTTCCCGCTGTCTGTGTTGCTGCTGCCTCTTGTCCAGGCTGCTGCAGTGACTGACCCCCTGCCCACTCCCAGAGCAAGTCTTACCCCAACACCCCATCTCTCACTCAGGTACACGAGAGGGCTTATAGAAGGCACGGCTCTGACCAGAAACCTTCTGGTTCCGCCTGCCCACAATGATCCAACTCTTCAGGGGACAAGACTCCACATGGACTCTAGTCTATTCCTGGAATGGCTGATTAGAGGGGTCCCTTAGTGCCTGAACCCTCTCACTGGCCAGAGGGGGAAACCCCAGACAACCTACCTTCTGGCTTCTCTAGTCTTGCCTGGGCTCCGGGGATAACTCGCGTTCTCCCAGTGTGGCCTCCATCCAACTTCTCTGCTTCTGCTGATTCTGGGCTTGGGGTGCTTGTCCCTGTCTCATCTGTTTACCCAACCCAGACTCACCTCTCACACAGGCTACCCCAGAGGCCAACTCTTCTGTGAAACGGTTCTCATATTCCCACAAGTGCTCCTGCCCTGGTTCTGTGTACGTGTCCACGATGGCATTTTCATCACCTCATTCCTCCTCCAGCTTGCCCATCTTCTGAGGGTAAGGGCCCAGTTTTGCTCAAGCAGTATCCCCGAGGCACACAGCACAACTGAAGCATCCGGTGAGCTGTTTCCCATTCATATTCTGACAGAGGATGATTTTCATCAGGAGTACTTACCTCCAGTCCCAGCACAAGGGGCTTCTGGTGTGTTCTTATTCTAGAGACATGAGGTCCCTGTTGTTTAAAGGCTTTAGTTCCTAAGACTCTGCCAACCTCCTCACAGTGAAGATGGTGGTCAGTGTTATTCTGGTGAATTAGGAGAAAGAGTTTTTGCTGTCCTAAGGGAGAACAGGAAAGCTAATTAGGAGGGAGAAGCACCAAACATTACGGAGATGGTTTTCTATGCCACACAGCAATTTTTATCTGTAGGGCAATTTAAAACATTAAATGTGTCTCTGATTAAGTGGAATTTTAACTGGAAAAGGTCAAAACCCTTTTGTAAACTAAGGCATGTGGAACATCAGAGCTGAAGGGACCTGGAGAAATCTCAGGTCAAGCCTCTGGGTCAAGAGGTCAGGCAGGGAAGCTTTCTCCCTCGTCACCCTGTGGAGGGAACTCCACGCTTTCACAGTCCACTCCATCTTTACTGTCATGGTGGTGGGGAGGAAATACCCCCCCTGGACCCAGATGTCCCCTTCAAGAGAGTTCTGTGGTCATTTGCCAGGGGCTCACACAAAGGATGAGGACAGTCCATCATCTTCTCCACAGTGAGCAGAGAGCTTGCAGGTTTTAGGGAGAGAGCTCAGTTTGCCATCAGAGTTTGATGTTTCTAAGCAGTACAACTAGGTAAATTATGGCTGAGTTAGGAGACATTGGGCAATTATTGAGTCTCAGATTTAGGATGAGATGGGTCCTGAAAGTTAAGGATGCCATACAGTTCTTTCCACCAGTAAACTGTGACTCAGAGATTAAGTATGTGCTTAAGATCACATAACCATCACATTGCAGAGCTAGGATTTGAATCCAGCTGTAAACTTGTCATTTTGATCTTCAAAAAATAAAAATTGTGGACATTGCAAAAGAGATACAGAGCCTCCAAAGATTATTTGCATATGAATCATCCAGAGATCTTGCTGAAGTGCAGATTCTGACTCAAGCTGGTCTGGGGGAAGACCTGAGATTCTGCATTTCTAACAAGCCTCCAGATAATACTGATGCTGCTAGTTCAGTGACAATGATCTGAGAGCTAAGGACTTGAGAGCTCTATTATGGGCCTCACTGCTCACTACTCAGGCCACCTCAAGACCCCCAGGAACGATGTATGACCAGGATGCTGCATGATCACTTTTGAGAAGTGGGGACCATGCATTCACTCCCAATTCTTCTCAGTCTTGAAGACTGAAGCATCGGATGGTTGCTCGAGGAGGGTTATTCGATGTTCCAGAGGGAAGGGAGCTGGGCAGGTCACATCATTTTACTTGGAGCTGAGGAAACGACTTAGCAGCTAAGCAACAACAACCAGGAAACAGGAGAGCTTGGGTACCATTTCTCTGGCTCCAGCACAGGCTCCTCTCCTGGAGACCAGCAGGGGGCGACAAAGGGCGGAGACCGAGGCAGGAGCCCTCCGAGGGCCTCCGGAAAGTCTGGGGCTGAGAGATGTGGAGGCCACAGTGGCTCTGAACTGAGCCCTGCAGAGAAGTTCCTAATGCTTGCTTAGGCTTAGAGAGCATGCAAATGCTTCTGGCAGGCTGGCCATATCCTGGAGCATAGGGAGAGGAGGCTGCGACTGAATTTCAAAACAGGAGTGTGATGTATTTTCTTTCCTAGCACGGACCTTAGAAGGAATTATCCACCCTCACCCTCATCCCCACATCCTGTGAGGTTCTGAATCTGTTGGGTAGTGTACACAATTTTGATTTGCGGGGAAAGGTCAAAATGACAACTGAGTGTGTTCAGTTCAGTTCAGTCGCTCAGTTGTGTCCGACTCTTTGTGACCCCATGAATTGCAGCACGCTAGGCCTCCCTGTCCATCACCAAGTCCCAGAGTTTACCCAAACTCCTGTCCATCGAGTCGGTGATGCCATCCAGCCATCTCATCCTCTGTCGTCCCCTTGTCCTCCTGCCCCCAACCCCTCCCAGCATCAGGGTCTTTTCCAATGAGTGTGGCTGGATTCAAATCCTAGCTCCACAATTTAATAGATGTGTGACCTTGAGGAAGTGCTTAACCTCTCTGAGCACCAACTTAATCATCTATACAATGGCAACAATAATAGTGTCTTATTCCCCAGGGAAGCATATTTGGCGGCTTCTGAGAAGATTCTAGTGCCGCACGGAGAATGAGTTACTGATGCATAATCCTCTAATATTTCTTCCTTCTTTAGTAGACAGACATCATTTATCCAACTGCACCTCACCAAAAATGTATTCCTTTTGTAAACCACTCAAGGGAAACAGGGAGAGAAGGAAACAGAATTTCTCAGTACACTAGCGTGATTTGGTGTTTCTCTTTTTTGCACTCATCGGAAATTAATGCAAAAACTTTCCTTATAGTCTTTACTATCTCCAGGTGGTGGTCTCCACAAACCAAAACAAAACCAGCACCATCCAGAGGCGCTGAGACAAGATGAAAACCAAAATGGTTCAGGTACGAAACGGCTTCTCTTCTGTCTGCTCGTTATAAACTCTTTAGCACCCAGCTTTAAAGCATCCAACTGGAAGAAATAATTCCATCTGCTGCTGCTTCAGTCATGTCCGACTCTGCGACCCCAGAGACGGCAGTCCACCAGGCTCCCCCATCCCTGGGATTCTCCAGGCAAGAACGTTGGAGTGGGTTGCCATTTCCTTCTCCAATTCCATCTGAGTGTATATTAAAACCTAACAACTAGCATGGCACATCTAAAAATCCTTGGGAAAAGACAGCTCACCAAGGCATTGACTTTCCTGGTGGCTCAGACGGTAAAGAGTCTGCCTGCAATACAGAAGACGTGGGTTCAGTCTCTGGGTTGGGAAGATCCCCTGGAGAAAGGAATGGCAACCCATTCTAGTATTCTTGCCTGGAGAATTCTATGGTCAGAGGAGCCTAGCGGTCTACAGTCCATGGGGTTGCAAAGAGTCAGTAACACTGACTGACTTGCTGTCATCCTCAGGTAGCACCAGCATTCTCAATTAGAAAATTAACATATAAGACTGACAGTCTCCCTGAATGCAACTCAGCTAAACTCTGAGTGTTCATGGGCAAAATAAACTGCCAAGAAAGATAGGCAGCTGCAAGGTCAGGAGCCTGAGCAGAGGGCGAGCTGGGAAGTCTGATACTGCATCCCCTGAAAGTAATGACACAGACAATCAGCTAAGTGCAGCAAAAATCATTTGGATTGTGATGTAAATTGGAAGCAGTTGGGGAGAGGCCTGGTGAAGAGAAACCATATTAAACTATGATCCCTCAGACACAGAGGATGGAAATGTGAGGAGACGGTACAAAACACTTGAGAACTGTCCGGGGAAGGATCTGCAGGCTGTGCTGGGTTAACAAAAAGCATCATGAAAAACCTCCCAGGGCTGGTAGAATCAAGCCTGCTCTGTAGCTGATGGAGACACCCCCTGGGCAGAGGAAAGGGGTGGGAGAGGGAGGGAGTTGGGCCAGGCAGAGGGGTCCCCCACGTCTCGGCCTGCCAGGTGCAGGGGGGAAGGATGACTTCACTGGTGGTGCCCCAAGACTGGGAGCAGGACAGGCAGGGCTGGGAAACACACCCCTGTTTTAAGGACACATTCTTGCCATGTGCCCAGCACCCAGGGAGCTCAGGGAGGTCCGTGGAGTGTGGAAACAGCCTGCACCAGCTGCCCAAGGTGGGCTGTGTTCCACGCTGAATGAAGGTGGAGTCAGCAAGAAACTAGGCTCCTCTGCCCTGTGGGTGATTCTTTAAAAGATGAATGAGATCACTGGGCTGGGATCACGGGGCAAGAGCTCTGGGCTGGGAGAGGGGAAAGCTGGTTTCTAGCTCCACTTTGGCCGTCACCTGGGCATCCTTGCCAAGTTTCACTTTCCTTGTCCTGTTTTTGTATGTGTTTGATGACCAGTTTGAACTAGAAGCATTTTCAAAGCCTGGAAACCTTCAAATTGCCTAACTAGATTTGCTGAGTGTCATGACAGCCATCACAGATCAGGACACAATCACCTCCCCTACTTTTTGGCAAATTTTTGAATCTACTATAGACAATCTTGAAAATATCTATGGAAAATAATGGTCTTGTGAAAGTCACTCAGTCATGTCCAACTCTTTGCAACTCCATAGACTACACAGTCCATGGAATTCTCCAGGCCAGAATACAGGAGTGGGTGGCCTTTCCCTCCTCCAGGGGATCTTCCCAACTCAGGGATCAAACCCAGGTCTCCCACATTGCAGGTGGAGTCTTAACCAGCTGGGCCACAAGGGATGGACCAATAAAGTAGATAAATAAAATGGATTTACATATATCCAGGGGCTTCCAGGTGGTGCTAGCAGTAAAGAGCCCACCTACCAAAGCAGAAAATAAGACGTATGAGCTGTGGGTTCGATCCCTGGGTTGGGAAGATCTCCTGGAGGAGGAAATGGCAATCCACTCCAGTATTCTTGCTTGGAGAACCCCATGGACAGAGGAGCCTGGCGGGCTACCCTCTATGAGGTCTCAAAGAGTTAGACATGACTGAAGTGACTTAGCAGGCACACACGTATATCCTGGCCTCAAATAGCAACTTCTTCCCACCTAGAGATTTACTCTCGGAGGGACTGCTCCTGTGGCTAGATCATCTTTTAAGAGTAGAAATGTTTCCCCCTCCACGTATTTCCACCTTCACCTGCCCAGGTCCATCCTCTACAGTCTCCTGACATCACTGCCCCAGGCTAGGTATGTAACAGGACTGTACTCAGAAGTAACTTGCAGAATCTTCTGGCTTTCATTTCCCAAACAGGGACTTAGGTCCAGGACACAGAGGCTTTTCCAGGAGGTCTTGAGAGGAGTGAAGCTGGAGGGGCAAAGCAGGGAGGTCTGGAAGAAACAGGAAAGGAAGAGAGGTCTGGGGGTCCCGGGAGGACAGGACTTTGCATGCCCCTAGAGTCTGGCTGGGCAGTCCAAAAGTAGCAGAGACTACCAGGGATGGGGCGTCAGCAGGCTTCTCAGTGGTAACCTGAGTGGATCAGACTGGTGAGCAGGATCCCCTGCAACCCCACCCTGAGCTCTCAGCACTGCATAAGATCCGGAAATCATGACACCACCCTGGGGTTGTAAGACAAAGGCTGCAAACTAATATTAAGTTGATCTCTACAAAATAAAAGGTGGGGCAGTATTTCTTGCACACCTGAGC